TTGAGTGGAAAAAGTACCGACGTACACTTATATATGCACTTTATGTGCATTATGTTCCAATGACAAGTAAAAATGAATAGCATTCTTTAAGAAGAGTTTTAAATACAGATGTCCTTAGGTTGAGTGTTGAGGTTTTGACAAGTTGTCTTGCTCTTTCAGCCAAGCCAAAGCCATGTACTCCTGTAAAGCAGAGCACAGCCATGAGCTTTCCTTCCCACAAGGAGCGATATTTTCTAATGGTAAGTATGTCACTTCCCTCTAAGTTTATCATCATGGGGAGGATGAAGGAATAGCATGGTAGTATGAGTCTCAAGTAGAAGCCAGAAGCCTCAGATTCTATCCCAAGTCCTGCCTCTCATGACAGGCATGCATGAACACATCAAATCCCTCTGGGTGGCATGCATCTGTAGTCCCAGCTGCTTAGGAGGGTAAGCCCAGCCCAACCCACAAAAAAATAAATAAATAGGCTGGACACGGTGACTCACACCTGTAATCCCAGCACTTTGGAAGGCCAAGGCAGGCAGATCATGAGGTCAAGATATTGAGACCAGCCTGGCCAACATAGTGAAACCTCGTCTCTACTAAAAACTACAAAAAACTAGCCGGGCGAGGTGGCGGGCGCCTGTAGTCCCAGCTACTCGGGAGGCTGAGGCAGAATTGCTTGAACCCAGGAGGTGGAGGTTGCAGTGAGCCAAGATCGCACCACCGCACTCCAGCCTGGTGACAGAGCAAGACTCCGTCTCAAAAAAATAAAAATAAAAATAAAAATAAATAAATAAAAAATTTTTAAATTCCCTCTGGATTCATTCCTCCCCTGCAGGCATTTGTGTGTATGTGTCTGTTTGTACATGTGTATATGAGAGGGAGAGATTGTTTCATTTGACTGTGTGAATGCAAAGGACATTCCAACTTTGAAGGGCTGTGACATTGTTTTGTTTGGACATTTAAGTTGAGCGTATAGTTGGCCCTGTATATTCCAGGAGTTCTGCATGCACAATTTAACCAACTATGGATCAAAAAGGTTGGAAAATAAATAGATAAACAGTAATACAAATTTTAAAAGTATATAGTATAACAACTATTTACATAGTTTTACATTGTGAAAGGTATTACAAGTAATCTAGAAATGATTTAAAGCATACAGGAGGATGTCCCTAGGGTATATGCAAATATTACATCATTTTATATCAGGGACATGAGCATCCACAGTTTCTGGTATCCACAAGAGGTCCTGGAACTAATCTCCCACAGATATTGAGGACTGACTGTGTGCGTACAATCTGATGTGGGACTTTAACCCATCTGTTTATATAATTATTTGACACAAATGTTGACCGAGTGCTATTTATCTGTTTATTTTGCCAGTGTACCCATCAGTGGAACCAGGATGGTTAAAGGCAACTTATGAAGGCAAAACGGGACTAGTTCCAGAAAATTATGTTGTCTTCCTCTAATACGATTTAGTGGATGGCAGTATCTTCATGGTATCCATGGTAACGAATAAGTGCTATGATTTTATCTGACACAGATACACAGGGATCAGCCCACTAAGTGAAAACAGTCCATTTCTATCAAGTTCTTCACCAGCAGACTATGTAGCTCCTTATTAATGGAAAAAAAGATTTAAATCGTTGGCCATTCTTTTTTGGTTGGTTTCTTACTTTAAAATATCTTGCTTCTGAAAAATGTATTTTTGGATAATATGTAACTCTCCACAATGTCTCTTCCATAGCAATTGTAGAGTTTCAAATACTATATTAAATACTATATCCCAGAAATTTGGAAACCAGAATCTGCTATATGGATTTTGAGATCTGTCCTTTACTGCCTGGCATTCTCTGAGGATCTCTGAAATTGTTAGTTAAAAATGTAATTTAAATTGTTCATTTATTTTTTTTTCTTAGAAATATACTGCTTTTATATATGATTGTTTTGCTGGTCCTAAACATTTCAAGGATGTAAGTCTTTAATATAACTTTATTTGTTTTCCAAGTAGATGATAATATTCAAAAGCAATAATGTATATGGTATCTATAAAGCAAGTAAAATTAAGTCATACACTGACTCCACTGTAAACAATCTGTCCAGAATTCCAGACACCTTCCATTGGTTTAGCACAGGGATCAGTGAACTTTTTCTGTAAAGGCCTGATAGCAAATATTTTTGTGGTGGGTTAAGTTTGGCTCATGGGTTATAGTTTGCTGACCCCTAGTTTAGAGGGTGTATAAAACTATCTTCATAACTTTGAGAGTTTTATAAAATTTTACATTAAAATATACTGATAAATTATATGCACATATTTTCTACCAGTAGCATTGTAGTGACATCACAGAAGAATATTTGCCAATCATGGGAAAACTGTAAAACTAAAGTATCAAGGCGTACAACTTCACTTCCACTTGGAAGATTGCAAAGTGTCAAAGTATTTTAATGATAATTTAATTTGGACTTTTGAAATGTTCTCCTACAAATGAAAAAGATGTTTGAAAACGTTACAAGGGAATCTATGCCTTCTGAAGTCTATCCTTAGTTGAAACAGAAAATAAACACAAAGGTACAAGATCCTTAAATTATTTTGAACCACAGAGGTTGAAATTGTTTTGTGATCTTTAGCAGAAATAAAATCTGTCCATGATTTTCTTCTGTGCCTTTTAGTTTACAGTCTTTATTAGCAATTTCAGTCAATTTGTAGAGCATAGTAATAGGTATTTACTGTCCACTTATATATATATCAGCATCTGGTCATGCACGAACCATTAATTCTATATTTCTATTTCAATAATTCTAATATATTATTTCTATAAATATAATATCTATATGTGGCAAAGAGCCTTTCTTCTCAAGATCCTGAAAAGCTAGTTACCTGACCTTTGAGTGCCACAGTCCTGACCTGCTTGTTCTTGACATCTTACTTCATATTACTTACATCATATTACTTCAGAGTTCCCCACTGTGCAGACTCTCAGGTATTCACTGTATAAAACTCTTTACATGCGATTATAATCTGTAATCTCGATCTCTTCTACTTTAAATTAATGTTTCTAGAATTAGTAGGTTAAATATGCATATACACACACAACTATGCCTCAGAAAAGTTATGCTTTTACAAATAAAAAGAATAAGATTAGAATTAACAAGTAGAGAGAATAACCGTTGGCAGAGTCAGAATCAGGAATAAATATCAGTGAATCAAAATAAAACAATGAAAAATATTCTGTAATAAAAATTAGCAATGTAATGTAAAAGTTTGATAAAAGACTATCTTTTTCTTTTACCTCTCACTGTTGACCTCTGTACACTGTAATACCGTGTGTTGCTGGATCTGCTAGGTCTAGGTCCTTGGTGACCTTAGTAGTAATAACAGCATTGCTGACACTCTAATTGCCCTCTGCTGGAACAGAAGGTAATTTCCAATGTACCAGTCCCTTAGTCTGTACGGCACCCTTGGTTTAAGCATGCTTGCCATCATCTGGTATCCTGCTAGAGTAGAATCTCTTAAAAGCAAATTGGTTTTCTTTCAAAGACCAACTTGACTCCAAAGAGAGATTCAGAATCCTACTCCTCCTGCTGCTGCATAAAGAAAATCTCAGCCTTCATTTTATTTGAACACAGACGAAAGTGTTCCTGCTTCTGAGTTGTCGAAAGCTAATTCTACGGATGTTCCATTCAGGTTTAAAGCTTTTTTACTGCATAGGACGTGGATATGAAGCCTAACTCCTGTATCTGATGGCAAGACATATGTTGCAGCCACAGTACTGGCTATGGTCCCTTTGCTGAAACAGGCTACAGAAGCACTGATTCAAGTTGTGCTTGTGCTTGAAGTTTTAATCTTCCAGATTTGTGAGGATGGCTCTTTTTCCTTCATAATGGATTATATGTGTAAGCAAGTCATGGCCATGTACTGGAGATAGGCTGAAGCTGCTTTTCCCTTTAAGTAAGTTTCCTACAGATAAGGTATTTATGAGCATTGAGAAAGTCAGGACATGTACTCTAAATCACACAGAAGGTTAATTCCACAGGAAGGCAATGCCAGACATTGGAAGAGGATCGCATTCAAATTCTAATAGTAGTTCAATAACAAAACCTTAACTTTTCAGAAACAATGTGAAGATACATTAGAATTGCCACATCTATACCTTCGAAACATGCAACCTGTGCATCCCAATCACTGCTTACAGTATAATCAGTATGACAATGAGATTGAGGGGGTCTCAATTTAAGTTCATCATCTCCTGTGTTATGTGAAAATATCCCTCAGTACAAAACATTTATGTATTTCACAGATGACTCTTTTGTTTTGCCCTAACGCTACCAGGTTTATGGAAACTAGTCAACTGAAGGATTTTTCTGTTGTGTTATGTGTAAATATCTGAAGAGTAAAATCATCTTTGTATTCCTGTAACGTTCATGAAGTATGAGGAAGCGCATTTCTCCTTGTTTGATGTGAGTGGTTTTGCTTGTTGCGTGGGTTGCCTGTGCTTTGTAACTTGCATGAACACAACCAGGTTTCTCAACAATGATTTGTCTGCTGACTGTTTTCAGAGATAGTGGGGGAAAAAAAGTGTGCCTTAAAACCCCAAATTATTCTAGGTTTCCAAGTAGGAAAAATAAAGATACATATGACTTTTATTATTATTCTATGATAATTAGCTTTATATAATGTGGCATCCTTCTTAAAAATTCACTATGTTGTGAGGCAAACAGATTTCTTACCATAATCTGGTGTACCCTGCTCACCTTCTCACTCCTAGCACCATTCTTCTGGTCTGTGTCAAAAAGGGCATTATTCATGTGGTTTCCATTGAGAAGAGTCTCTCAGAGCTTTCCCTCAAGCCATTTCAAATTGTACTAATACGTTAAATTATGTATTCAAGATGCTTTCTTTAGCATTTAGAACCCCAGCTAGACTTACACTTTGACTAAAGCCAGAGGCAGACCAATTTAGGGAACAGATTTTGTTCTTTGGTTTTGTGATACATTTGTAATTCACAGCTGCTAGCATGACCTCACATCACTGCGTAGGACCCTGAAATCGTATCTCCTGGTCAGTTCACGAAAAAGAACAGAGGCTTGACTCTTGTCCAGAAGTTACTTCCCTCTTGACTAAAGGTTTCCCCATAGGGTAGACATTGCTATTTAACTTTGCCTCCTACCCTTTTTTGTTAACCTTCCAAAATCAAAACACTTTTAAGAAACAAAGATAATTTTCTGAACAGTCTGTGTCCTGCCTGTCTCCTGTTGATTCACAGATACAAATATCGAGTATTCATCAACTAGTCTCAATTTCCTGAACACATACACTGTATCCCTCGTTGTCACCATTATCCCCCTGCTTCAAAATGTGCCGGTTCCACTTGGTAATAACCTTCGGAAAACTCAGGTTTATGAATGATGTGGACTTTTAGAGGATCAAATCAATAAATTGGATTTTTTATTTTTTGAGGGCAGCTGCACTCACTGTTTTAAGTAAAGAGTCTTACATAAGAATGTTGACAGCATTCACAGTAAGCCATTGGCAGAAAATTGATCTGCATGTCCTAGACCAATGTTTAGAAGGTATTCTATGGTTTAGGGAGCCCAGCCCGTCATTCCTTTACCTCTTGGCATTCATGAGAGAGATGCCAAGTTCAGTGTGAATTTTTCTTGGTGCTGTGTAGAGAAATGGAGTCTGTGCACTTACTGAAGAGTCCCAAAAGGCGGAGATCATTTTCATTTGTTGCCATCATAAAGATTCTCCACCATTCAAGATGCTTGTGTACAGGGCTACTTGGGAAACTAAAGTGTTGGAGGAGGCAGGGGCTGAAGGTGTCAAAACCTCCTCAGTAGGCTAACCACTTTCTCCCCTTTGGACCATCTGCCATCTTTCCCCAATGTTTCCCATGGTGTTTTTGCATCCAGAGTTGACAGCAACTCAATTTTGCCTTGAATTTACTCAGTTTTATAGATTAAAAGTGTGCATTTTATATAGAAATGCATTTTATATAAAAATATATGGCTACATATACATATATATATATATAAAACGCACACTTTTAATCTCTATATGGCAGCATTCTTGAGGTTTTATATCTGTCAGTGTACCCTCAACTGCCTCCTTTTTGCAGAGAATGATCCCCACAAGAACTGGTCTAAGAACACTGTCTGCTCATGGTTTATACTTAAAATCCAAGATACCACCACATAAGAGAGGTTGAGATTTTCAGAGTCCTTGATTTCTGAGCTGAAACCTTAACAAATAGGGAATTTGGCAGGGAAGACACCTGGGTTTTTAATTCAGAATCCTATTTATATACTGTTAAAATTTGAGGTACTGTAGTTTATATAAAAGTCGGATGTTGAGATATTATATTTCAGTACTAGGAGCTTCTTTGCAGTCATTAACATGACAAATTAAGTAATAAATATAAAAGTGATTGTCCATAAATTATCATTGAATTTTTTGTTTATTTTGTAGTATTTCTGTATTTATCTGCACTTTGTGTATATATACACACGTACATGTGCCAACATGTAAATAACTTCATGTTTATTCCTAATCCTGAATTGCCACAATATTTTTAATGTATGGTTACACTGTGTTTTAAATTACTTTAAAAATAAACTTTGTAAGCACATTTTAATTTAGTCTTTGTACTTGAAGACTCGCTGTGTTGGAGGGCAATCCTCTTGGCTTTATGTAGAGAAAAAACAAGGTTTCTGGTACTGTGAGTGATCACTTTGATATGGCTAAATCATAGCAGAATATGGTGACCTTCTCCTCACAAATTGGTATTCTGCAAGCTTTGGAAAATGTTAATGTTGATAACCTATTAATAATGCAGGTATCCACCAAGGGGAGAGGGAAATGGGTGATATGCAAAATACTAAATATAACAAGCACACAAGCTTACCTGAAAATATATGTTTGTAAAAGTTTCCAAGTGTACTATGAATGAAATATCAGCGTACAAATTCTTCCCATCCATTTTCATTAGTTTTATGACCCTCTTGGTCATGACTTGACGTCTAGGTAAAACTTTGCTTCACTGCATCAAAAAAAGAGAATCATGTATTTCTTTTGCATTGCTCCATAGATTATCAGAGTGCAGCAAATCACTTTGCCAAAACTAAGCGTCACAGATTGACCATTGGACAACCTGGTTTGCTCACATAGGTTGTAGTTTTCATCAATATCAGAGGAAAAGAGATAAAGTGATGACACAACACCTGGTAAGTTATAAGGATTAATGTTAACGCCAGTATAGTTAAGCAGGAATGGACTATTAGGTTAGATATTATAGATTATTGTAGATGAGCTACTGTTTAAGAATGTTGGTTAAAAATGTTGGCCTGGAATCCCCTATAACTGATATTTTAGAATTAAAAATGAATTAGCTTCCAGTGGCCAAAGCTAGAATGATTTGAGCAACAAAATAATGCAGTATTGAATGATTGGCTTATAAAACAAAGTATAAAATGAATATCCATGAATCCACATGGATATCAATGACAATAAATTTTATTTATGTAAAAAAATGAGGGAGAAGAGACAAATCTTTAGAAAAATATTCCAAATCATAATTGGAGTTATAGTTACTTTTCCCTCTAGCAGGTAGAATTTAATCCTCTCCTGCTTAAAGGTGAGCTAGATTTAGTATCTCATTTCCAAAATTTAGAGTATGGAAAACTGTCATAACTTTACAGAAAAGAAACCTAGTAGCCACTGTCTTAACCAAATGGTAAAACTTAATATCAGGGCCGGGCGTGGTGGCTCACGCCTGTAATCCTAGCACTTTGGGAGGCTGAGGCGGGCGGATCACGAGGTCAGGAGATCGAGACCATCCTGGCCAACACGGTGAAACCCCGTCTCTACTAAAAATAAAAAATTAGCCGGGCATGGTGGTACATGCCTGTAATCCCAGCTATTCAGGAGGCTGAGGCAGGAGAATCGCTTGAACCGTGGAGGCGGAGCTTGCAGTGAGCCGAGATCGCGCCACTGCACTCCAGCCTGGGTGACAGAGCGAGACTCTGTCTCAAAAAAAAAAAAAAAAAAAAAAGACAATATCACTGATATCATGTGGTTGACTTGAACCCCATAATATGTGATGTGAAGAGCACTTCCCCTCTGTGGTTTTCTTTCCCCAAACCCATAATTCCAGTGTAACCATTAGAAAAACATCAGATAAGCCCAGATTGAGGACATTCTACAGAATAGATCTAAGCCTAGTACTCTTCAAGACTGTGGAGCTCATGAAAAATAGGTAAATACTGAGCAAATGTCACAGATCAGAGGAGACTTGGGAGACAGGGCAACTAAATGCAATGTGGAACCCTGGACTGGATCCAGGAACAGAAAGGAGACAGTAATAGCTGGGCGTGGTGCCTCACTCCTGTAACCCCAGCACTTTGGGAGGCCGAGGCGGGCGGATCACCTGAGGTGAGGAGTTCAAGACCAGCCTGGCCAACATGGTGAAACCCCGTCTCTACTAAAAATAAAAAATTAGCCGGGCATGGTGGTACATGCCTGTAATCCCAGCTATTCAGGAGGCTGAGGCAGGAGAATCGCTTGAACCGTGGAGGCAGAGGTTGCAGTGAGCCGAGATTGCGCCATTGCCCTCCAGCCTGGGCAAAAAGAGTGAAATTCTATCTTACTACTACTACTATTATTACTACTACTACTACTACTACTACTAATAATAATAATAATAGATAAGCTGGTGATGTCCAAATAAGGTCTAAACTTTAGTTAATAGTTTAAAAAACAAGGTAACAAAACTATCCAAAAAACAATACATGAGCTGGGGATACTTATATCATTTTGGGAATTTAAGTGACTTATTAAAGAATTAAACATTTTCACTTGTTCCCCATTAAATTTTGATCTGCGTGTGCAAGATACATCTTCTATTCATCACTCAATCTCAGACTAGAACACGGTTGGGCATACAGAGACACAGTAAAGTAAGCCCCTTTCATTAAATGAACAAATTCATTAGCAAAAGAGCATTCATTGTAAACCCTTTAATAATTGAAAGAATACAGTTGTGGGCGTGTGTTTTTGTGTCTGTGTCAATTCTCCCAGGAACAGTGGGATCATTCTTCAACATCCATGAATATATGGATCTACTCTGGAGTTATTTATATGTTAATGGAGTAAACAACCCTCTACACACGTGAACATGTCTTAAGGGCAGAGGTGAAACAGATTTTCTTCTGTCATTACCAGACCTAGCAACACTTGATTGAGCTGAATAATATGGGGGTGATGTTGAAGAACTGAATTTTCTAAACCATTAAAAAATATTCCAAATTTGGGGCCGGGCACGGTGGCTCAAGCCTGTAATCCCAGCACTTTGGGAGGCCGAGACGGGCGGATCACGAGGTCAGGAGATCGAGACCAGCCTGGCTAACACGGTGAAACCCCGTCTCTACCAAAAAAATATAAAAAACTAGCCGGGCAAGGTGGCGGGCGCCTGTAGTCCCAGCTACTCGGGAGGCTGAGGCAGGAGAATGGCGTAGACCCAGGAGGCGGAGCTTGCAGTGAGCTGAGATCCGGCCACTGCACTCCGGCCTGGGCGACAGAGCGAGACTCTGACTCAAAAAAAAAAAAAAAAATTCCAAATTTGGAAAATTAAGCTATATTAAACTTACAGTTGAAGTTTTTGAGCCAAGTAAGTTGTGTTGTTAACTTTGAAATTGTGTATAGCCCAAAACTGAGAAGACAAAATTCTTTTCAAGTTTCTAACATGACAGTTCTTGCTATTAGGGGAAAAAGGAGGGGGCTATAGATAAGAACATGGGTGATATATAAAAACATTTGAATCTTTTTCGAATAAGATACCCTGGGGAATGCAAATCCCCAAAATACTGGTTGACATGCTTGCAAATGCTGTTTCTGGGTATTTGGGGTAAATGAGCCAAGCATAGCATTCAGCTAGACTCTATTTGTTGACAGAAATAAGTTATCTGGAATATTCCACCTTTCCAAATGCCAGGAGCCAGTCTGCTGAAAAGGATTCTTTGGATCAGCCTGTGCTAGAGGGAGGAAAACAAAAATATGTATTTCTAATCCTCATAGATGTTTATATTCATCATATCACAGATTTACAGACCTTTTTTTTTTTTTTTCAAAGAACGTGTCATAAGTTGCGTTTGCAATTACCCAATTCAAATAGCTTTCAAATGTATTTTTGGAGCAACTGGAGCAGAATCATTTTCTTAAAATAAATCTTACTTGGAACCCGATACGTTAAAAATATGAGTCAAGCTGCTAGCCTCAGTGCCTTCACGTGTGCTGAAATATGTCTGCCCTTCACCCACGCAGGTCCACAGATGCTTTTTTTTGTTTGTTTGTTTGTTTTTGAGCCAGTCTCGCTGTGTCACCCAGGCTGGAGTGCAGTGGCACCATCTCGG